GGCACAACTCCAGGGATTTCTGGTAGACACTGATTATCTTGATCCGGCACAGTCTGGCTTTAGACCGGGACATGGAACGGAAACAGCCTTGGTCGCCTTGGTAGATGATCTGCGCAGGGAACTGGACAGGGGGAGTGTGTCCCTGTTAGTTCTGCTGGACCTCTCAGCGGCCTTCGATACCGTCGATCACGGTATCCTTCTGGGACGCCTCACAGACATGGGTCTTGGGGGTACTGCTTTGCGGCTCCAGTCATTTCTTGAGGGACGGTCCCAGAAGGTGTTACTGGGTGACACCTGTTCGGCCCCACAACCGTTGTCGTGTGGAGTCCCACAGGGTTCGATCCTGTCCCCAATGTTATTTAACATCTACATGAAGCCGCTGGGAGAGATCATTCGGAGTTTCGGATTGAGATGTTATCTCTACGCAGATGATGTCCAGATCTGTCACTCCTTTTCACCTGTCACCAAGGAGGCTGTCCAGACCTTGAATCGGTGTCTAGCTGCTGTGTCGGACTGGATGAGAGCTAACAAATTGAAATTGAATCCAGACAAGACAGAGGTCCTACTGGTCAGTCGCAAGGCCGAACAGGGTATAGGGTTACAGCCTGTGTTGGATGGGGTTACACTCCCCCTGAAGACGCAGGTTCGCAGCTTGGGGGTGATCCTAGACTCACAGCTAAGCCTGGAACCCCAGGTCTCAGCTGTGGCTGGGAGAGCCTTTGCACAACTAAAACTTGTGCACCAGTTGTGCCCGTACCTCGGGAAGTCTGATCTGGCCACGGTGGTCCACGCTCTTGTTACATCCCGAATAGACTACTGCAATGCTCTCTACGTGGGGTTGCCTTTGAAAACTGTTCGGAAACTTCAACTAGTCCAACGAGCGGCAGCCAGATTGCTCACCGGAGCGACATACAGGGAGCATACCACCCCCCTGTTATGCCAGCTCCACTGGCTGCCGATTCAGTTCCGAGCACAATTCAAAGTGCTGGTTTTGACCTACAAAACCCTATACGGTTCCGGTCCAGTGTATCTGTCCGAACGTATCTCCCTCTATGTCCCACCCCGAAGTCTGAGATCATCCGGGGAGGCCCTGCTCTCGACCCCACCACTGTCACAAGTGAGGCTGGTGGGGACGAGGAGCAGGGCTTTCTCGGTGGTGGCCCCTCACCTGTGGAACTCACTCCCGGGGGAAATCAGGGCATCATCATCCCTCCTCGCCTTCAGGAGGAGGGTGAAGACTTGGTTATGGGACCAGGCCTTTGGGCACTCTGGCAATTAAATCAGACAATCAGGCGAGTAAGACCAGCAGGATTGATGAAGCGGAACGTAAAACTAGATCTATGTGTTAACGAACGCTGACCATGTAAGAGGAGAAATTGGGTTTGTATTTGGTTTTAATGATTTTATTGATTTTATGGTTATATTGCATGCATGTCATCTGTGAATTGTTGTAATTTTATGTAAATTTGTGTATGATTGTTTATGACGCAGGCATCAAATCGTGCCTTGCTCCTGTAAGCCGCCCTGAGTCCCCTTCGGGGTGAGAAGGGCGGGGTATAAGAACCCCAAATAAATAAATATGTTGAAAATGAGCCAACAGTGTGATGCAGCAGCTAAAAAGCCAATGGGATTTTGGGCTGCATCAAAATGAGTATAGTGTCTACAGATCAAGGGCAGTTATGGTGCCTCTCTATTCTGTTCTCGTCTGTTTTGGTAAGACTTCACCTGGAATACTATGTCCAATTCTGGGCAACACAATTCAAGCGGGATATTGACTAGCTGGAAGGTGTCCAGAGGAGGGCAACTAAACAATCAAAGGTCTGGAGACCATGCCCTATGAGGAGCATCTTAAAGAGCTGGGTATGAGCTCGTTTTCTACTGCACTGGAAACTAGGACTTGGAGCAATGGCTTCAAATTACAGGAAAGGAGATTCCACCTGAACATTAGGAAGAACTTCCTGATTCAAAGAGCTGGTCAACAGTGAAACTCTCTGCCTCAGAATGTGATGGAAGCTCTTTCCTTGGAAGCCTTTAAACAGGTTGGATGACCATTTGTCAGGGAAACTTGGATTGTGCTTTTCCTGTATGGCAGTAGGTTGGATTAGATGGCCCATGAGGCCTCTTCTAACTCTTGATTCTATGATCATATTGCCAGTAGTAGTTTCTGGTAGAATTATTTCCTATCCCCATTTGGGGTTCTGTGATACTACCAGATGATCTCACTGAAATACCAGGTAGCCACTTTGGCATTGAATGCGGTTCTCATGCCACAGACACTTCTGTATAAGAAGGAAATTGAGTAAAAGCACCTGTGTACAGAAGCCAGCATGGTATATTGATCTGAGCATGGGGCTATAATGGGAAACAAAGATTCGAATCTCTGCTCAGTCATGGAAACCCACTGAATGACCTTGGGTAAGTCTGTCTCAGTCTCAGGGAAGGATTAACACCCCTGTGGTGTGTTTTGCTGTCTGCCCCTGTACAGATGATTTCACCTCACTTGAAAAAAATGGATTTTGAAAAAATTGACTTGAGGAAACAAGGATTGATGAAAAAACTTTGGTGGAGACCCCTTTTTCTCCAATAAAACTCTCTCAGAAGTGAATTTCCCATCCTAAGGGTAGATTGAGCTTATTTTTTGTCTCACCTCCGTTCTTAACTATGAGTTGTTTGTAAGTCAGATGTTTCTAACTCAGGGACTTACTGCCTGTAATTCAAGTGCCCCAAAGTTAAGGAGTTTGCAACCTGCTGCATGAGAAATTAGTCCTTTTAGAAAAATAGCTAAGTTTTTTTCTGAATTTACTGAAAGAAAGGGGGGATATATCTGTTTTTAACACACTTTTTCTAGATGCTAGAAAATATAGGTTGCTTACCTGTAAACATAGTTTCCCGAGTGGTCGCCTGTGAATTCACACATTTGGTATATTCCTGGGGTAATTATAAACAACTGGATAGGTGAGCCACTCCCCCAAATTTTCACCCCAGTGCATTTAGGTTCACTTCAAGGGCTCTCAAATGTGCTGACATGAAACTTACCTGAAATAGTGACTATACCGAGCAGAGCAATTTGTGGACCTAGTTGAACAGGTTTCATATGTGGATTTATATCTCAAATGGTCCCAGCAGAAGCTCTCCAGAAAATGTTCAACATTCGGGGTTTGCAGCAACCACATTTCAGGTTTACAATACAATTGAGACATATCACTTTGTAATTCTGGCCATTAGTATTTTGAACCTGTCTGATGGAGCTATAATAAAATCAGCTTTTAAATTTTTATGTATGTTTTAGTAGGATTTATATTTTATTATGTTTATTGCAATTTTTGGTCTGTATGGTTTTCCTTTTTGGCAACTGAATGTTTTGCCTCACATATTGGAAATTGTCCCGAGTCCCCTTGGGGAGATAGGGTGGCATATAAATAAAGTTTTATTATTTTATTTATATACCACAAGAGGATGTAAAGGCAAAGTTATTTATATTAAAAAGGTTGATTTAAGCTAGTGTGATCACTTCAGAAATTAACGCCTACCTAATGAATAAACTAAGTAATGTGTTCTTGTTCATAAGACAACTGAGCCTATTGCCTCAGATCCAAAAAAGAATGGAAAGCTGTAGTGTTTCTTCAACTTGAATGACTGACCAAATATTATCTGGGATGTGAGTGAAGGTGAATGTTTGTTCTGCTCTTCCCAATTCTATTTAACCCATTTTTTTTATTTTTAAAAGGCTAATAATGCCCCCCTAAGGCCTTCACGAGTGTACAATTGGTCTCTCAAGACAATTTAAAATGGGGCAAAAAGCTGTAAGAATCTGGAGGCTAGTGTGTGTGCTTACTGGAAATTTTTGATGGAGTGGAGAGGCTCTCTGGGGGGCAGTCCCCACTTGAAATTCCCGACCTCTGGTTTAAACAAAGTACAGAATATTGAGAACAGAAATGCATAACATAACCAGTAAATGTTTTAGTACTTCTCAGTGCTATCCATGACCATCCTTTAACTGTAAGCTTCTTATTCAAAACAAATGTATAAACTTGGGAAAATATTCGAAAACATTCATGCAGCATTTCTCAGAAACAAGAGAGATTGAGCAGTGGAAAGATTACATTTGGGTTACAAAATATTTTGTTTCAACTCAAAAAATAAACTTGATCAAAAGCTTGCCATGTTTGGAAATATAATTCATATATGTGCTATAAAAACATAATGCACAGGTATTCTCAGCAGAACTCCACGGTGCTCTAAAGCATATGATCTAGGTTGTGTTAATTTTTCCCAGGAGTGGTAGAGACGCCTTTTTAAGATTTATTCTGCTAACAGGCATCCTTTTCGATGCCTTGGGTTATCACATTCAGCTATCTATCTATCTATCTATCTATCTATCTATCTATCTATCTATCTATCTATCTATCTATGGCTACAGCTGGCGTTCTAGGTAGAGGACACAATACAGATCAAAAGGGCACCAAATAAATATTTATTTTATTGTAATCTTATTTTGTGAAGTAGTTGTAGCAATCCCATTAGCCACACCCAACTAGGGTTACACAGAAAACCAAGAAAAGGTCTTTAGGCTTGGTAGCTGGATCTTGGGTGCAAAAAGAAGTTGGTGCATGACAGGAGGGTAGCTGATTTGAAAGATTTTCCACAAAAGGAGATTCACCCAGAAACACTCTCCTGCCAGAACTGAGAGGAAGGCATTACTGAAGATTAACATGCAAATCTTATATTCTCTAACAGATATCATTCAAGGCATGTATGCCATAACACACTGGACATGTCACATGTAGTTGCCATGTTCTTTCAGTGGCTCCTAACAATCCCTTAAACTAAACATAGCTAAGACCATTGTTTTAAAAGTCATACAAGTAACTGGAACTAAAAGTAAACAGTTGGCTGATAGATAACAAGTTTGTGACACATGGGAATGTTTGCTTTTCATTCCACACAAGCCTAACTAGTCATAGGTCCCAAGTCTTGAAATCAAAACCAAGAGCCACTAGTCTCTTTCTGTCCATTTATTTCTGTGAATACAAGTGGGAAACTCGGATAGGAGGAAGGCACCTTCCCCTGAGGGGTTTTCCCCCAAGGTTTACAATACAGGAAGATACTGCTCCATGCAGCAAATTTAATAATAATAATAATAAAAAGGCACACAGAGCAACAGCATGCAAGCTGGACAGCAGAGCTCTTTTTTTCTCCCTGGGCCTCAGTGCAGCCAAAGTCTGTGGTCATCAACCCATAGGGAACAAAGTCCATAGTTATTGCTAAGGTCCTGGGATCAGAGCAACCCAAAGTTGTGAAGTTATGTGGAGGGATGAACACTGAGGCTAACCAAGGTAGTAGGAATGAAACCCTTGGCCTAGAAGCACCCCACCTGCATACAGAGCAGGGGGAAATTCTCAGGAAGAGTTGGGCCCCACAGGAACAAGGGACCACCCACATTCAAGTATGAATGGCAGGGCACCAATAGGGCAAAGAGAATGGAGTGAACAAAGGGCAGCACAAACTTGGAGAGCAAGGAACAAAAAAATCCCACCTGGATCACATGGAGTACATAGAACTAAATGGATAGATGTGCCCCATCTGGCAGGGTTCTGCTTTGGTCCAGCTCTGGAAGGAGCCCAGCCCAGGGCAGACACAGGCACTTTGGAGACCTTGGGCTGGATCCAGCACCGACAGCCCAGGCGGCCTTTCTCCCCTAGGACAGGTGAAGGCCAGGCAACGAGGGATAACAGGGCAGTTGGAAAGGTGGCTTGGAACTGCAAGACAACAGTCTGTAGGCACTTGGTCTGGCTAACAGGCTCAGACATGGGGCCGGTTGGTCCGGGTCACCTTGAGCCCACCCGCTAGTTGGCTTTAGCTTTGCCATTAGCAATGGCACCGTTCTCATGGAAGCCATTCTGCTGGGTTTTTGGCATGGCCTTGGGCAGACGCTTGCCTTTGGTGTACGACTGGTACCAGAAGTTGGAGAAGAGGATGAAGAAGATAACACCATAAATCCAGATGAGATGGATGAAGATTGGGAACTGGTAATCGCAGTCAGGCATGAAGTAATACTGAGAGATGTGGACTGAGACGAGCACAAACTGCAGCTAGGAGCAGAGGCAAGGAAAAGGTCACAAGTATGAAGACAAAAGCCATATCCCCTTCCACAAATGAAACTATTTAGATGGTAGCAGGAGAAAGAAATGCTCAATTCAGTTTCTTCAGTCTTGTCCATTCAACAACAAAAAAACAACAGCAAAAGGGGGGAGAAGACGGGGGGATCGGTCCAATTGATTCATTCAGATAAAAAAATAACAGCTTAATTGGGGGGAGAAGGGCGGGATACAAATATATGTAATAAATAAATAAGTAAAATTGCCCATGCCCTTTTCTTCATTACTTACCAGCTGAATGGCAGTGATGTGCTTCTTCCACCAAAGATACTTCTGGTATGCAGGGCCAAGAGCTGAGACCCCATAATAAAAATACATTACCACATGTACTATAGTGTTCACCATAGCATGGAAAGAGCCCATTCCTCCTGTAACACAATATGGAGAAAGGAAGGCCAAACATAAATATGCGCAAATATCTGTTCACATGAAGCCAGAAGCATTATATATATAAGGGAGCAAGAAGGGGATATCAGAGATCATAAATGTAGTAGCAACAACCATATAAAATTATCAGAAGTATTTATTACAAAGTATAGATTTATCCAGTCCTTACAAAATTAAGCCTGAATCTCCTGTAGTAGCTGCATTATAAGCATATATGCAAAAGTTACATGTAACTAGTTATTCACGTGGTCATCTATAAACTCATACAACAGGGGGTAACTTGTTCCTATGCAGTGCATCTTTCAGCATCTTCTACAGTTCTTTACATAAGTTTTCTGGCCATGACCTCATCCACTTGTCCCATGCCATAAGTGCACTTTCTGCCTAAACCCTTAGTTTCCTGGATTCCAAAGACGCAACCAAGGATCTAAGGATAGGCAGGACACAATGATGGAATGATAGGTGGGATTGTATGATTCACAGGTGACCACTCTAAAGAAATTCAGTTATAAGTAAGAAACCTGTCCTCCTTCTTCATGATCTCTGACTCACACAAACTAGTTACTATACATAGCTCATGTGACTCAAGAAAAAGCAGTCCTTCCAAACACAATCTCTGTCTGAGATCTAATACCCAGAAATAAACGAAATGACTGTCATTTAGAAGTAGACCATGCTCAAAGGCAGTAAACACAGCCATCACTCTAGTTGAGTGGCTTCTAAGTTGTACAGGAAGTCTTTTGCCTTCAAGTTCATATGCTAATCTGATGGCTGCTGTGATCCATTTCAACAGAAGTTGAAGAGACAAAAGGAGTTCCTTCTTTGCAAATGAGTAACAAAAAAAAGTATTTTTTTCTAGCAGAATTATAAAAAGCCAAATCCAACGGACAGCTAGTGAACGGAGATAATATTCCAGATCAGTAATAGGATTCTGTAGTGATGTTGGAAGAATAATGTCTTGATTTAGATGGAAAGCAGACACTACATTCTACAAAAGGAAATGTCCAGTCACAGGACCACTTTGTCTTGATGTAAAGGGAGGTAAGACTAATCAGTCCACAGAACATGAGTAATCTTAGGACACATGAAGTCACTAGCTTGAATGGCCTCTTAAGATAGTTCTACTGAGGACTGAACAAATCACAGGTGAGTGTAGTCTTATATCCCTTCAGAAAGATTTTTGTTAGCAGGTCCAGGAAGCAGGGCTCCCATGCATGCACAATAATTTGAGACGTTGCATGTCAAGGCACTTTCTGTTCCTAGTTGCCAAATCATGAACATCTTTATCAGCAGGCACTAAATCTTCTGGGCATTATGAACAGTAATTGAGGGGTTTTGGATTCTGGTTTTGAGAATCTTGTATAATGTCTCAATCTTCTTGGATGTAGAAACAATGAGTCAAAGGATTAGTCCAAGACTTATATACAAGTTACATAACATAAGGCAACATCCAAATGGCAGCAGCGGCACACACTGATATCAGCACCCTTCAAAAATATAGCCACTTATCTGCAACTTCACTTGTAAATCAAGAGTCTTGGCTATATCTATATATATCATCTGATCAACAGTTGGCAAAACAGGATCAGTTTAACCCAGAAATACCAGAGGAGATTTACTGACAAGCACTGCAGAAGACAATTCCAAGTCGCAATCCAAGGTGGAAATGAAGGATGCAATGCTGAAAATGGAGGTTGAGGTGAGAAGTAGCTTGAATAGTATATATTTGGTGTGAGTCAACACAGTATCAGGCACTGTTTTCTATGAAGATTGTTCATGTTACGAACAAGGAAAAGTAAAATATAAGTATTGACTCCTACTGTGACACTCCCCCCACCCCCCAGGCAGAAAATCAATGTGCATGTGGATTATCTCAGCAGAAGGGTACACAGATGCTGCTCCTGTGGCAGGCAAAAAACAACCAATGGTTTAGGCAGAAAGTCTGCTGGTATTGAGTGTGGGCAGGATTACTGCCAAAAAGCTTATATAAGAGTTCAAGAAAGTTCTGAATGGTGCACTGTGAACGGACAGCTCAATTTGTGTAACTCGCAGAGTCTACAAAGAAAAAAGTGAAGAGGTATATTTACAGTATTTTTACTTATTCTTTTTCAATATCTGGCTGAAGCCAATATCACAAAGAACTGAAAGATTACAGGCTTTCATTTCCCAGTAACTTAGAAATCATCAGATGGGCGTTAGTAGCTAAAGGTCCTGAACTTGCTATGCCCTTCCCAGCACACACTGCTATACTCCCACAACATTATCTAAGGGCCCTTTAAATAATTATGGTGCTGTGTTTTCATTTTAACTGTCATGTCTGCATACATAGTGGTGGGGAAGAGGGACAAGGCCATCTCGGTGGTGGCCCCTCAGCTATGGAAGTCCCTCCCCACTGATATTAGAGCGGCTTCCTCCCATCTGGTTTTTAGAAAGAAATTCAAAACCTGGATATGGAACCAGACATTTGGGGAATAGCGCAACCACATCCATGGTTTTGATATAGTCGAAGCAGCTTAGACTATGTTGGCAGGAATCTTCAGAGTCTTTAATTTTAAATTGTGTTAATATGTTTTATTGGATTTTTAGGTAAAATATGTTGTTTATTTGTCTGTTTTATGCCTCAATGTGGCATTGAATTATTGCCAAAAACTAGAAGCCACTCTGAGTGAGACAGAGTGGGGTAGAGGTACGATATCTTCTGTGTTTGTGCTAAATGACTGCTTTTTGCACAATGAATTTTAAGTCATATATTTACTTATAAGGTGATGGTCCTAAGACTATTACTACAAAGAAAATTAAGGGATGCATGCTTATCAGAAGAGAAATGTACAGCACAGTAAAAACACTCATAGAATCATAGAATCAAAGAGTTGGAAGAGACCTCATGGGCCATCCAGTCCAACCCCCTGCCAAGAAGCGTACATATACATGATACATGCTACAATTGATCATAATAGAGGCAGTGTAACAAAGTCACACACTTGTGAATAACTGCACACATCGTGGTTTTTCAGGAGATGGAGCCAGGCCCCAGATTACAGACTTCCCCTAAATCTCACCTGGGCCAAACTTGACACCCCACCACCAACTCCAGGGTAGCACTGAATGATGGAACACATGGAGGAAAGTCACCTGATCATTCTTCTTTCTTAAGATAAAGATCACCTGGAAGTAACAACACAGTGTGAGTGAGAGCTGAGTTTCTGGTTTGGGCCAATGTTCTGACTATGACATCCCCTTCACCTCAGGATGTTAAGCAGAAGAACCAGGAAATAATAGCCAAATTATCCCTAAGCAGTCTGTTATTGTTCAGTTGTGAGTACCAAAAGAAACACAGACATAAAAACATCACTTTCTTCCCCATAATATCTTGCTCTGTTAATTGGCCAAAGTTACTCACTGTAATTTGTCACTGGTAACCATACCAATATGGCTAAGAAAGGCTGACTGGCCACCATCTTATCTAAATATAAGCAAAATTGTTGAGGAATAGAACAAAAATATTCTATTTGTATCCTCAGTTAAAATACTAGTAAGAGGATAAGAAGTTTTGGGTATCCAGGAGCCAATTTTGTCCACAAGCCACAGACACAAACCCACTACAAATCTATACATGGCAAAAAGTCCCTTTGGGAAGGGGAAAAGCAGGAGCTATACTTGCTTTAAAGAGAAACTATAGAACCTGGAGGTTTCCAAGACATTATTCGCTGTGTTTTGGCCACAATATTTTTTCCCAGTGGATGAGATACCAGGGGGCTTGGGCTGTACGAGAACCATAGATTCTAGGTGTCTCACTTCTATACTAGAGGTCTCACAGAAGCAAGAAGGGAGTCACTTACTGTGTCCATCAGTTCAATGAACTTCGAGAAGATAAAGAGCCAAGCCACACGAACCATCTGCCAAGAGATAGAGCAGAAATCAGGTATCTCAGCCAACAAAGCACCATATCTAATTTCCCCCTTGACTCTTCAAGCTTCTGTATCATAAATGCATCTCTCCTCTTTGAGATAGATCACTACAATGGTCTGATAACTTCCAAGCTGATCATTACATTCAGAAAAAATATATAGAAACACAGAGGGACTTGGGAAAAATAAGCAGGGAGAGAGGGGTTGAATGAAGAGAGAAAAAGAGGGTAGAACTTACTCGGAGGGCATTGGGTCTCAGAGAAGTATCCACAGGGTCACATCTCCAAGTATATTCAGTCAACCACGCTGACATAAGGAACTGCAAGAAAAAACAGTAGTTAGAGCATACCATTCATGTACTTTTCCCTATTAATACATTTTGCCAATAAAGTTATATTCATCAATTATGTTTAATACCACGTTTATTGCAGATCTTTCTTTTCAGCTCTCCTACTATGAGCAAGCTCAGAGCAAAGGTTTGTGGAATTTTTAACTAAATGATATATTTTGCTTACCAATTTATATATTGAGCTTCTCATTGCTAGGATTTCCAATTATTTTTTTCTCCCTATAAATCCAGTTTCTGCAATTAAGCCTTATTCTACACCAAGATACCAAAGCAGGCATTTCTTAAAAATAGTTCCCTTGACTCGGACTCATTACTTGACTGAATTAACACTACCTGATGTTAAGGTTGTTTTAAAAAAATAATGGCAGTGGGAACATTATACTCCTCCACTCAGATTGTGGCATACCAAAATTAATATTTGTAGTGGTAAAAGACTGTACATTTATAGTCAGATACTCAAGAACTACTAAGATGCAGATATTATGCCATTCAGCTTGCCAGGAGACACAACCTGGTATTGCATAATAGTCTATTTTCATTTAATATTTTGATAATGTAAAAAAACTTACAGAATATTGTCTGTTGAGACTATGCTTACTATCCCTCTTATTTAATTTTCTGATAGGAAAATTGTTTACTCGTGGAATATACTAGTCTATCTTTTTCAGAGAGAAAACTCTAGTTTTAGGGAGAAAAATCCTTATAGGTTTGAAGCCCTGAAGTGCCCTGGCAATTTCAATATTCAGTTGATTTGGTGTTCAGGAAACCTTCAACATTCCATAAAATAAGGAAGAACAAGTACAAACTACTAACTCATTTCTCTAAGCATCTGAGTCTTTTACATATAGATATTCTTTCTGAAGCTATGGCTTTCCCTCCCACCTCACTGTTGAAAACTCTATTAGCAGTCACAGCTGTAGGAATATGATTAGGTGTCAGTTATTGAAAACATAAATTAGGATGCTGTGGAATCATCCTAATTTATGTATTCATGTTTGCAATAACTGAAATCATCCTAATTTATGTTTTCAATAACTGGGCCTTATCAGAGATTAATTACACGTATACAGTTGGCCCCCAATATCTGCCGGGGTCTGGTTCCAGGACATTCATTGATACCAAAATCTATGGATGCTCAACTCTCATAAATGACATGGTAAAATGGTATCCCCTACATGAGTTGGTGAACAACTCAAAGTATCACAGAAAGGCTACAGCTGAGTGTGCCTACACTTCAGTGTTGTGCTCAATTCTTGGGATGTTTTTCTGAATATTTTCAAGCCATGGTTGGTTGAATCTGTGAACGGAGAACCTGTGTGCATGGGTATTACAAATCTCAAAGAACAGTCGAGAACTATAATTATGTTGTAAACTTGTTATAGACAGGACAGCTTTTCTGGGGTGTAACACATAACCCTCCTGCCTGATTTAAACTATATATTCCTTCTGCACCCATAATGTTTACATTTGCTAGAGTAGGAGAAGCCATTAATAAACACTGGAAAGATTCCCCAAGCAATAGTGGCCACACTATAGCACTGACAGCTTGATCTAATACAGCAAGAATGAAGAAGTTTACCTCATAGACCATGTAGAGCGACAATGCTACCATGGAGAAATTATAAACAATCATGAATGTCTTGAGGTTCATAGGCTTCCGGTTGGCCATGAGCCGTGGCCCAAGTGATAGTACAAAGTACACATAGCTCAATAAGATACCAGTTGCGAGCCAAGGTGAGCCCATAAGTGGATATGAACTAATTCGGGGATCTGCAAGAAAAATTGGATTATTCAGATACATCAATACATAAATGCAAGAGATCTAATCTATAACTTCTTTAATATCAATGTCCTGTGCACTGGGGATGGATTTTAAGAATTTGAAGTGACAAGTATTTGTGACAGAAGTTATGAATCACGAGGAGACACCAACTAGGGATCCCAAGAGGAAAAGTAGCATTTATGTCTTTCACTCCTGTGACATAAAGAGCCAAACTCACCTGCTCCCTTTATGAAGTCCTGATACATATTCACCAGTGAATCCATGGCAGCTGTTCTGTAAAAGAAGCAATAGGGTAACTCAGTTAACTGGGAATGAAACTAATAGTGTTTAAGCTAAGCATAATCAGATTATGACTCCACAACAACTGTCTAAAGTCTAGATGAAATAAATTATTATTTCACCTCTCCTCAGCTTTGCCACTTTTGTGACAGCTTCCAGGGAATCCAACAACTGCATATTTACTGCTTCTGCTATAACCAGCTAGGGGGTGGAAGTGGGGAAAGAGATCATGCGTTCTTGAACACTCTCCCCTACCAGGCCCCTAAATCCCCGGGATGCTTTGCCGTGTCATCAGAATCAGTTATAAAAGACCATTGTAGCATAGTATATGCCAGCACAGTAGGTATACCCTGTTTAATCAAGTCACAATTTCAGTCCAGACCACAAAGCTCTGTGAACACAATTTCATTCTTATTTTCAATATGGAGAAGAAATGGATATCATCGGGTTTCCATGCTACAAAAACAAGCCACATGCTATTTCCTAGAATTAATACACAGGCACAGTTTGCACATGCTCTAACTGCATTTTGTAAAAACTGTCAAAAGGCAATAATTAGTATCTGGCTCAATCCTTGCTTTTCACTACCACTCCTTGTAAATACTCCCCAAATTGTTCATTCACCAACACATATAAGATAAGGACTAGTTCAGGGGCAGAAGTCTTGATACCCCTCAGATATTGTTCGACTGCAATTCTCACCATTCTTTATCACTAAACATGTTGGCCTGAACTGCAAAGAGCTGCAATTTATCAACATCTGGAGGGCTGGTTTATGTCAGAGCTTCGTCAACTTTTTCAACTCACAACCATTTTCCACCTGAGAAGTTTTTCCATGACCCCAGGTATATAAAACAGGTATAAAAACCAAATATTTACTGATAAACCCCTGTGCCGGCAAGACTGAAAACAAACAGGTCATAGGTTCGAATCCAGGGAGAGAGCAGATGAGCTCCCTCTATCAGCTCCAGCTCCTCATGTGGGGACATGAGAGAAGCCTCCCACAAGGATGGTAACACATCAAAACATCTGTGCATCCCCTGGGCAACGTTCTTGCAGACGGTCAATTCTCTCACACCTGACACAACCAAAAAAGCATTTGCAAGGCTTGCAAAACAGGTTGATTTTCCTTTTTGTGGAACAGCTGAAACATGTTCTGCAGAGTCCATTGAAAACACTGCAAATTGATGCTCACATATTTGTGTAAATAGGTGGTGTTCGGCAACATTTTACTGTTGCTAAATTTTTCAAGACTCTCATTTGGGGTCGGGGGCACATACGCAGTGATCTATATTAAAGACGGACAAAAATGTGGTACTCCAGATTATATTGGATTCAAATTTCCACAGGCACTAGGTAATATAGCCAACAATTAAGAATGCTGGTGAAAGCATCTGGAGGCCACATATTGTCTATCTTAACATAGAGGAAAGAGGCAACACAACTTGTCACTAATACACAAAATAAAATTTCTATTAACCATTTCCAGCACTATGAATGATAAGACAATGCAAGTTTCAATCCAACAAAATTTCTACATGTTTTCCATCTCTGTTCTTGCTTTAGAATACCATTAGAATCCATCTTGCCTGCGGGCCAACATAAGATATGCTTATTCTATGCATCAGAAGAAGCTTATAAATACAGGCTGTGCATCCCTCATCAAAAATGTTTGGGAACAGGAGTGTTTTGGATTTTGGAAAACCAACTAATTTGATATCTTGGGCATGGGACTAAGATTAAACATGAAATTCATTGATGTTTCATATATTTATTTATTTATTTATTTATTAACTTTATTTGTACCCCGCTAGCATCTCCCGAAGGACTCGATGCGGCTTACACAGGCCGAAGCCTCAGAACACAATACAGAAGAAACATAACACAACAATAAACAAAGCAAATCAAATAATTAAGCAAAATAACAGCAACAGTGACCTTATGTGTATATACCTTATACACATAGCCTGAAGGTAATTTTATACTATATTTTAAAATATTTTTTTCTTTTTGTGTGTGTCAGGAGCAACTTGAGAAACTGCAAGTTGCTTCTGATGTGAGAGAATTGGCCATCTGCAAGGACGTTGCCCAGGGGACGCCCAAATGTTTTAATGTTTTACCATCCTTTGTGGGAGGCTTCTCTCATGTCCCTGTATGGGGAATCGGGAGCTGACAGAGGGAGCTCATCCATGCTCTCCCCAGATTCGAACCTGCAACCTGTAGGTCTTCAGTCCTGCCGGCACAAAGGTTTAACCCACTGCGCCACCAGAAAGAAAATGTCTTTACACTTAACTATCAGAAAGCAATGTGTTCAATATCTCAGCTACACATGTTGACAAATTTGGATTTTGGAATATATTGTATCTGAAGACAAAGGAAGCACAATCTGTTTCCCTATCAGAAAGCGTAGTGATGCTCAATACAAGTTATTGCAAAATTAGCAGCATTGTTATTCCAACATTTTTATCAAATTGGTTACCTCTTACAGGCATGCACATGCCAATTTTCCCTTCTTATCTTAAAAGACTATTTGTTATTGTATGACTTCAAATAATTTCTATTTTTGGCAACCCTAAGGCGAAATAATTATGGCATTTTCTTGGCAAGATGGTTACGAAGGATGTTTTGTCTTTGATTTCCTCTGTGGTTGAGAAAATGCAACTTGCTCATTTTCAGTGGGTTTCCACCGAGCAAGGATCTGAATCCTGGTCTCCAGAATTACTATCCAAAACTCAAATCACTATATAATGCTGCCTCTCAGAAAGGCCTCTAGCACAGTGGTTCCCACCTCTTTTTTTGCCACGCCCCATCTAAGAATCTCAAATCCGGATGCCACCCCCTCCCAAGACATATTATTCTTATTATTTGAAAAGTTAACTCCCATTCACAGGAGGAAGCCTAAAAGGCCATTAACTTGATATAAAAAAGCTTCCAAAGAACATGGTATCCATGAAAGAGCAAAATACAATAATAAAATGATTTCAGTAATCTGCATTGAATTCAGGGAAACATGTCCAACTTCATTTTGTGTATTTGGTGAGAATATGTAAGAATATCCTGTCATCTGATGTTAATTTTTTTTGCAGCTGATAGTCTTCTTTTTTTAAAAAAAAATCAAACAAAAATATTGACTTACCTATGAAAGTAATAATTTTGTTTTGATTTTTTTCATAGATTTCTTGCTTCATTCATATGCAGAACAAAAGACATCTTTATAGATTTTGTATAGCTTGAACTGTTAAAATAACACTTTTTTGTGCTCGTGCACTTTCTGTTTAACTCTATGCTCTCACCACTTCTCTCTATTAGCTGGCTTTCCCTCTCTCCGATGTCAATTACTGACCACCGTGTACAATCCAATTTTAATTTTAAAAATGAGTATGTCCCAATATATATTTATATACTGCATATGAGGCCCCTAGAGCTATAAGAAATGCAAAATAAATCACTGTTAAGAATTTATTCTTGAATTGCCCCCTTTAAAAAACAAATTGCATCTCTGTGGAGTGTGTGCTGGGAACCAGAGCTTTAGCAGATGTAAATATAGCAAGGGAAATTGCTAGACTGACATCCTTAAAACCTAATAACAGCCTAGTCAACTGCTGTACTTTGCAAAAGCCTCATTTTCTCCTTTGTAATCTGGTCATCAGTAGTAACAATAAACAAATCGTTGGAGTTAAAAGATCTTAAAAACTACTATTAAATAGCTATTCAACAATCAAAATAAAAAAAAACCCCAAAATCAAAACTAGGAAGATTAAAAAGTAAACATGCCTAGAGAATGTGTCTTCCAATATAAATTCCACACATTCTTTCACACAAGCAGGCAAATTTTCCTTGTTATCTTATATTCCCCTCTTTTCTTTCAACAAACTAACAGAATGCATAAAAGGGATAAGAATATTTCCTCAAGTTCTGCGTTTTCAAGCTTTATTATTGTTTTAAAGGAGTTTTATATATACAAAGTTAAAAAAATACATCTAAAATCAAAAAGGGCTTTATCCTCTTTTTCGATAAAGAACTCAACTTCATAAAGAGTATCAAGGCATAGCTAAATAGAAAAGGATAGCAACCAAAAGTCCAATAAACAGTAAATTTAACAGCTAAGATAATGGGTTGTTGTAGGTTTTTTCGGGCTATATGGCCATGTTCTAGAGGCATTCTCTCCTGACGTTTCGCCTGCATCTATGGCAAGCATCCTCAGAGGTAGTGAGATAATATGTGAGGTCTGTCAAAACGCTTCATGTCTTTTTTCCCAGCACAAAATACTACAAAATACCCATACAACCAAAAAAATAATTAACATCTAAGAATTCAACTTTAGAATCAACAGCAAGCCTAACCATTTCCCAATTTAAATAATGATTTTCCAAAGGATATATCACCCTTTAGCTCCCTGTTCTGCATTATGCTTTTAAGGATGCCATGCTGGCCTAATTATGTCAAACTGAACATGCTCATATAAAATCTGATCATATCTTTTGAGAATAAGTCCCATAACTTGATTGCTGGTAAAGAGGGAGCAAGAAAGCACCAGGAGTATCATAAAAACAGGTACAAAAAAGATATCAAAGTCAGCACCATTATGAGGGAGCTGGCTTGATTTTCATAATGAAGGGATGAGTCAAGAAAGTTCACAAGCATGAAAGAGACCATGCCCAAAGTTTAGTAACAATCCATAAATTCTGTTCCTGGTTTCCCTGACACCATGAGAGGTCGTGACAACAGAACAGTCCTCAGTTATAGTATAGCCAGAAAGTTCATACAGTGGAACCTCAACTTAAGAGTGTCCCAACTTAAGAGCATTTTGAGCTAAGAGTTGTCACTTGACCCAGGTTTTATTTTGACATAAGAGCAGCATTTTGAGTTAAGAGCTAGTTTCAGAGGGAGTGCTTCAAAGGAGCAGACTCCGTGCATTGTGCTCTTGTCTGCTTTGGGGGATTGTTGTCTGCTTTGCTCTTGGCCGCTCTGAAGAACTTTGAGTTATTTGATTTTGTGTGTTTTTTATTCCTGGTATGTTTGGCTTCGTCAAGAGAGGGAGGGAGGGAGAGCAAAGAGGGAGGGAGGCCGGAATGAATACAGTATGAAAAAAATGATGCTTTTGCCTCTTTGCTTTGTGTTTCCTTGCCACAACTCTGTGCTTCTACCATTTTAAAGTTACCTTTTTCTTGTTACATGTTTATGTGCATTTATACATTATTTGTTATTTATAAAGTACATTTTCTTATTTAAAACATGTTTTTAAAAAATTGGAGGGTGATCGGAATGGATTAACAGCATTACAATGGGAAAATTCGCTTAGAGATAAGAGCATTTTCAGTTAAGAGCTAGGTCACAGAATTAATTAAACTCTTAAGTCAAAGTATCACTGTAGTTAAAGTCTCCACTATATGTAGATGTCTTCTAGGTTCAATGTGATAGTGAAGATAATGTTCTGGCAGTTAAGCATTAGAAGGAAAGGGGGAAAAGAATAATCTAGATCAGCCTTCTCCAACCTGGTGTCTTCCTGATGCACTGGACTACTTCCTGTAATTTCCAGCCAATATGACCACTGTCTTTTCTTCTGTCTCTATGCAGGTTAACTATACATAATATTTCAGCATCTTATAAATGCTATAGCATGGATAACAAGAAAAACTACTACAGGGTTTGCAGAGTAATTGCTTTTTCTGAAATAGGTAGGTCTTGTGCCTCAACTATCTACCCCAGTAGCAAGTACTTTCTCTCAGTAACAAAAGTGCCTCACCTACCCAACTGTAGTAATGTGGAAAATTTAAACTACAATAAACTAATTTTCGTATTTCTTATATTCTTATCATCTCTCTGGCTCAGAAAATTAGCCTCACTTTCACATCACACACACACATGCTGCCCAGGCTATTTATTTCTTAAAGCACGACTGCACAAAGAAGGAAAAATAGTTTTGTCTTATATGGGCCCAACCTGTTCAGCCTGTTTGGAAGCAGGAGGGAATTCAAGCCAGCATGCTATCACACAGCAGCCCAGCCCAAATCTTAGGCTGTGGAGCAATTCTGCTTTACAAAAAAAAAAGAACACAGTACAATCTCTCTCATCTGTTGTGTAAGGGCAGGGGATAATTGAAATGACTTCAGAATCCCACTCCTACACATGTCAGATCACACTATTGTCTAGTTACTACCCTTTACTAGCTCCTATACATGAAAAATGTGAGGCAAGTGAAACTGGAAGGGCAGCTTAAATGGGAATTTTTACCAATCAGATGATGGTACATTACTAGACAGCCATGAAAAATGAACCCCAATCTTATCCCAAGGGATAGAAGTTTTTTTTCAGCTAAGAACTCTGACTTGATCAAGAAAGCAAAGGCTTTTAACAAAACTAGGTAGGTGAAATGACCGTGTGCATAATGATTTAAAAACACTATTTTTTTTTAAAAAAATCACATATAAAATACTAAATTTATCTCTCAGCTCTAAAAATTTCCACCTGCTTTCAAAGATTGATAGGACAGTGCATGTCTCTATCCTATTTCAGCAAAGAATTACAAGTAAATTTCAGCACAGACATGTTAAATGAGCTTGTACTCGCAGCCTATTAATTAATTAATTAATTAATTGCACAATCACAATCAAAGTCATGCATGCTGTGCTTCCTACAATTAAAAACTGTCAGTCATTAAATTTCAACTCATAAAAATAGCACTAGTCTTTCCCGCAGTGAAAACTAATTACCAGTTCTTGCTTCATGTTCTGGGTTCTCTGTGTCTTTCTCAATTCCAGCAGATTAAATTTACACAATCTACAAAAACACAGGATGAGTGATGCTGCACTCATATGGGTGGCTGTATCATGTAAAACAAAATAATTAGTTATGGCAGAAAGGCAATACAGGAAGAGAGAACAGACCATGTTACAGGAAAAAAATGTCAAATTCTTCTGAGCATTAGGGAGACTACATCTGCAAATATATTGACACCCTTCCTATAAGAATGGAAACATGCTAAGTATAAACAATGCAAAATAAAGGTGCTGAATCTAGCAATTGGAATCAGTGTTCTTTCAATTGCTAACCAATTTTTCAGAGCAGAACCTTCCTCTGCAGGCAACAGACATATTTTCATTATTTTCGTCAGTATAAATTATTGAGATACAGCACTTTAAAAACAAACAATTAAAAAACAACAACCAAAATGATGTGGTGACCAAATAATCTAATCTACAGCTTTTGGATATAGGCTTCAAGATCCAATATCACCTCTAATCACAAGACTGCCAATGCCTTCTGCATCTCTTGTTCCCACTGCTTCTCTGCAAAACTGTCCCAAAGCATTCAAATGGAAATATATATCTTTTTCAGGATTTTTTAAGGGAAGCCATCAGCCAGCAATGCTCTAATAACAAATTAGAAACAATTAATCAGATAATCTGGGATCAGATCCTGGGACAGATCAGATCCTGGGACACAGGGCAGTATAGGTCCAGCCTCAGTTAACCAAGTACTTAAACAATGATTTTCTGATGCTGGATTAACAACTTGACAATGGCAATGCATATATTAATTACTACTAATCATTATATAAAAAAATAGGAAAGTATCTAAAAATACCATGTTAGACTCTCCTACATGTTGTAAACTGAATTCATGACGAGAATTGCACTAAAGAATATGTGAGGTTGTATAAGGTAACACGGGGAGCCCCCGGTGGCGCAATGGGTTAAAGAGCTGAGCTGCTGAGCTGGTTGACCGAAAGGTCGCAGGTTCGATTCCGGGGAGCGGCGTGAACTTCCGCTGTCAGCCGTAGCTTCTGCCAACCTAGCAGTTCGAAAACATGGAAATGTGATCAATCAATAGGTACCACTCCGGCGGGAAGGTAACGGCGCTCCATGCAGTCATGCCGGCCACATGACTTTGGAGGTGTCTATGGACAATGCCGGCTCTTCGGCTTAGAAATGGAGATGAGCACCACACCCCAGAGTCAGACATGACTGGACTTAATGTCAGGGGACAACCTTTACCTTTATAAGGTAACACTTTATTTCAATCAGAATTTTCTGTTAGTGATTTAAACTACAATTTATTCCTATTTACTCAAGTCTAATGTGCCATTGAATCTAGTGTGCACCTCAGTTTTCAAAACCCTGAAACTAAAAGAAGTATTTGGCTGCCAAATGTAATGGGCAGCAGCAAAAAGTGAACTCTGCAATTTGGCCAAAAAGGTGTGCATTACAGACGCTGCCTGTTAAGAATTCATTCTTTAAAACAAAAGTATTAGAGCACCAAAGCTGCTGCAGAATGAGTTTACTTTAACTGTCCTGGATCAATACTATGGAGTCATGTATTGATCTCAGCTGCTCTGAGTCCCCTTGTGGAGATAGAGTGGGATACAAATAAAGTATTGTTATATATTATGGGGGTTGCAGTTTCACAAGGTCTTGAGCCTTCTCTGCCAAAGAATGTTGGTGCCTCACCAAACCATATATCCCAGAATTACATTGCATTGAGCCGTGGCAATTAAATTAGAAGTGATGTCCCTCAAATAGGAGCTCCAGGTGCTCTTGAAGCAGCTTCCCCTTTACCATATTTTATTCTAATCTAATGTGCGCCCCTAATTTTGGTGAGTTCAGACAGACAAAAAAGGTGAGCATTAGATTTGAGTAAATAGGGTGACAGGGTGGTTTAAAACAATCTATTAGCATGACAAAACCATGACATTACAGAAACTCCCCAAGTTACAAACATCTAGCTTACATACGATTCATAGTTAAGAATGGGGATGAGACAACAGAAAGTGAGATACATCTACCCATAGGAAGAGAAATTCACTCCTGAAAGTTGCCATTAGGAAAAGGTGTCTCCACATAAGCTTTATCACCAATCCTTGTTTTTACAAAAAGCCAAAATGTTCAAAATCTAATTATCACAGGGACAGAAAGTGAGGTGAAATCTTCCAAACAGGGGCACAAACAGCAAAACAAACAATATTAGGGGTCTTAACTCTTCCCTATGCTATCCAAAATCAGCTGAACAGAAACCCACCCCTCTGTGCTTTCTATTGGGTACCCAAATGGCTTTTATGCAGACATACATACAGGCATTAAGTCCAAATGTGTCTCTCCTATCACTACAATCTTTCACCTTTGAATTCCAACTCCACCTACCTCTGCAAACAGGGTCCTGGCAAAACTATAACAGGACATATCAGGTTCTTAGCGCTGTTGAATCTCCAACCCACAGATGTTCCAAAGCCAACAACACAAAGCTACGCACCCACGAGTGACTTGCATAGAAGTGTTGTGCCTGGTACTGCCACCCACATGGGAGCAGGGAGGAATCTCTCAATAGTATATTGATGCATGGAGATGGAGGAGGGGATTGGAATGCTGGTATGACTGGCCCGTTGGGGGGCTGCACAAAATTACCAGAGCAACAAAGAACAGGCTGCCCTGAAATGGAAAGAAGCATTCATATAGGGAACTGCAAGACCCAAGCCCTCTCTCTATCCATTATAAAATACAAACCAACTTTGAGTAAACTAGCTCAAGCCTACATTTATGATCTTCTCTCTCTTCCAATGTGAGGCTACTCTTGGAAGCAAAATGTCACATTTTTGCTGGTTCACAAATGTGTCACAGGACATAATACAGGACTGTCTTAATCTAAGTAAGTTTTTTTTAAAGGCCACAGTGGTTCAGGCAGCCGCAGAACAAAGCAAAATATATGCAGTTACTAGGAAGGGACAGGACTGTTCATATGAATAAAACGAGAGAAATGAAAGAAAAGGAATCACTAGGAAAGCCCTGAAATTCGCAATAGTAGTCTAACTTCCTGGCCTAGGTTCTCTGGGACATAAATGTCACTGTGTTTTATTAAGCCATAGTTCCCTATAATGCAGACTGAGGTGTAGCTAAGCCTTATGAATTTGAAAGGGCCCTAAAGGTTCATGTTTTTGGCATCTGGACAAACAGGCTCAGGAACTAGATTCACAAAATGTTTTTGCAAAAGAGACAGAAATTCCTCTCCTTGAACTAAGCTAAAGAAATACTCCAATTTTTCGTGCAAGCCTCCTCCCATCTTAAAAATACAGCTTCCCCTTGGGAAAATGAAAACCAATCTCAATAATAAATAATACATAAAATAAAAATTCTCTTTACATTTTAACTTGGCAATAATTTCCACAACAACTGTGTCAGAAAAGCAACGTGAAAACAAATTATATGCCTTTATTAGTATTGGCATATAATCTTACTATTCCATTTCAACGCAAACACTGCCATTTTGATTAGTATTTAAGAATATACTTTACATGTTTTTACTTCGTGAAAGGTTGCAAAGTTATACATAGAGCCAACTCTACTGTAATTATCAGGGTTCCCAAACATGCGGGGTGGGGGTGGAGGGAGATTAACTGGCAGAAAACAAGCAAAACTGTTTTCATTAGAATTTAAGATAGCTGCCTCTGTCAGATCTCCACTGTGGTATGATAGTCAATTATGGCTGCAACCTCTCCCAGCCTCCCAACTAAAAGCTATGGACACTGTATCAATAATGAAAATCACATGCATTTCCTGAGGGATAATCCCAGCTTGTTCTAGATAGGGTTCCTGCATGAGCCAGAGCAAAAGATATTTCGCAGTAACTGAACTGTAAAAGAGACTACTGTTAAATCCCCTGAAGCTCTTTGCATAGGTCTCTTTGCTCAGTAATAACTGGGAGCTACCAATGACTGGTAGCAATTCCCAAAGGCTACCAATGCCCTACATCCTCATATTAAAACCTAGAAAGACAATGAACACCACCTAACAAGTTGGGATGCCATCTTACATATCAAGATCTAAAAGAATGATCCAGGACTACATAATTCACAGGGCCAGCTAGATTGCTGCATACAAAAGACTATAGTTTCATACTCTTGTTACAGCTCCAGGGCAAATAAAGTAGGCACATGATTCAAGGAAGACTGCCCTTCTCTGGTAAAATGGCCCATGAGTCATGTATACATAGGTTTGATAAGAATACATGCCCCAGGCGACGAGACCTTGCAGCCGCTTTGCTAACAAATGGGGCTGGGATTCAAGCACAAATTAGCAAGTTATATATAGGACTGCACCCCAAGGTATAAGCCAGTGTTTGAGGGTGGAGACTGCCTTGACCACATAAATTCGAGTGTGCTAACATTTGAAATAAAATAAGCATATTTTGTAAATAGCAGTAATGGACATTAACTGACATAATGTGGCATGTCTAAGTGATAATAAAAACTATTTAAAGATCAAATATGTTTTACCTTTGTTCAGATTTAAGTACTGCTCTTGGTATGAAATCCCAGAGCTTCAGTGGTCTAACTAAGGCAATAGTCCAGTAGGCAATATTCTAAGAACACCGGTCTCTCTCACAGGTACATTCCTCAGATCTGGTTACAGTCCATAAGACTGCACACAAGAAAACCTGAATTCTATTTTGTGATGAAACCTTTTAATTTTTGTTTTCAAAGAAGTACTGTGTTTGTTGCAGCAAAAAAAAAAAAATCCCGATTCATCTTGAAAATATAATGCTTATGCCATGATAAATTTCTTCACCTTCAAGATATCCAAATAGTCTATATTCTTATTAGCTTTGTTCTGTTTGTGCAAAAGGAACCATGTCTTGATGCTTCCTTAATATGGGAAATGTCCAGACTAGAGAAGAGCAAATTCAGAAATTTTTTGAAAGGCTCAGTCAAATGTCCTATTTTCAGAATAAAAAGTTGATAGACCAAGATGTGCTCCGTAAAGGTTGTTTCCACAGCCAACCATCTCAACAGGACCTCAATAAAGATGTCAAAGGGAGATGCCAATTGATGATGCACCAGTCTAGTTAGAGGTAATATATTTAAATCCAGAGTCACTGCAATAAAAGCCTTTTAACATAAATCTTATAATCATTAAAACGCAACACCACACAATGGTTACATACATAATACTAGACTTTCTTCCACCATGTAGGAGTTCCAAATGTGTATTACAGAAGTTGGCTTCTTCTATAAATAGCTGTGTTGGTATGATCCTGCCCTTGAGATGACTGTAAGGCTTCAAGGATACTGAATCATATTAATGTTGGCAATCTCCTTATAGGTGTTCTATAGCTGCCTTTCAGATATAAAGACTCTGTTTTGTTTGAGTTGGCCCACAAACTTTGCCTCCATTATCAATAGAATTCATTACTGCATCTTACAGCAGCAGTTGAAAGAAAAGGTTTAAGATGCAGCACCTGCTTTGCATGTATAAGCTCATCTCACAGGTTACGGGGAGACTACATGTACCTAGAGAAAAATAAAAAGTAATGTGCAGTCGCATGCAGCTTTCTGAGAATTGTTAATCTCAAACCATCAACGCTTTTTAATCCCCACAGCTTTCGGCTATAATTTGCAGGGTTAAGTAGATACACATAAAAGATCTGTAACTCCTTTCTCTTTTCTGAAGATTCCCACACCCACTTAACTGCTTGGTAGCTCTCATCTCCACTATAGTCAGCACTTCATGTTTATGGAGGTTAGGGATATAGGAACATGAATATCACTAGCTCCACACACTTAACTCTTAATACTGTTGCCCATATTTCACACATGCACACACAAGTACAGTGTATATATTTGATGTGTTTATGATTTATTAAACTTTTTTAGTTTGATCATGTGCATGTGCCATCTGCAATTTTCCACAGTAGGTGACAAAACCAAAAAGGTCCCATTTTAAATATTGATGGCTAAATTCACAAATAATCAAATCTGTGAAAGTTAAACCTACAAAAGTCAGGGTTCAAGTGTATTTCTATTCTGCAAATTTTGACTTGATTTTGCAACAAATGCTGCCTCTACTGTTTGGGCATGGGGGCTTTACAACCGTTTTATTTATGCAATGCCTTTGACACGAAATTAATAAAAGCCCAAGAAAACCACAGGAGCAAAAAAGGCTTAAGCAGTCAATTATTCCTATACTGGAAAATGGTACTGAAAAAACAAGGATTATGGAGAAAGATACATGTAAGTGTGGACGTTAGTTTTGTAATAATGACAAGTGTTAGTTTGATGTTGGTATCTGTGATCTCAAACATTTTAAAGACCCAATCTCATATGTAATTCTATCTCCCAAGATGGCTGTCTGATTCCAATGGCTTTCTACATTTTAACATCTTTGTAGGAATTGGTATATTTGCTATTTTCTATGTAACACCAACTGAATCTTGCAGGTCCTTCAATTTAGTACATTATAATACATTCATTATTTCAATTATAATTCAAATTAAATTAAATTAATTCAAACACACTTAGTGTATACTGAATTCAAAATCAAATAATTGACATACATTAATATATACCATAAAGTTTCCTGAGTTATAGCTATATGAAACAATTTATTACAAAAAATGTGAGCTATTATTATATTTGTTCATGTTTGAGGTAGCAAAACTCTTTGCCTATGCAAAAGTTTGAACATATTGTTGTCAACCAAAAAAAAAGTTATTGTCCCCCAAGCTTATTAATGTCAAATTCCCCACAAATACCAACACGTTATATCTACCTAATCTCACTTCATTTGTTCTTTGGAAACAAAGCCTAGGTGGAGGTTTTCTAGACACCTTAGAAAATAATGCAGTGTGTGGGTGCTGCCAGTTGCTCCTAGCACCTTACTGCTATTCCCACTCCCAGTTTGCAAAGTTATTTGAAAGTTTGTGCAACCAGATCACCACTGAATAGCACCAATTTGTGTGGTGGGACCGGTTACTCAGAAAGAACACTTCCATTCCTTGCCTGCAGGTACAACTAATCCACAAGCTGGAAATGAATTTGCTAGAAAAGCACGGTTCACAAGGTTAAGCAAAGGCAGAGAGTGGGAACCCAGGTAGAGAGACATCAGGTGCTATTGCTCAATTTTCAGCAACTGAGAAAGAAACCAGGAGTGCATTTATATTGTAAAATGAATACAGTTTTAACTACCACAGTCCAAGGTTATGGAATCATGGGAGTTGTAGTTTAACAAGGTCTTTGGCCTCTTCTGTCAAAGTGCTGGTGCCTCACCAAACCACAAATCTCATAGCATTGAATCATGGCAGTTAACGTGGTGTCGAGTTGCATTAATTTTACAATGTAGGTGTATCTAAGATTTCTTGGCAAATCTAGGCCTGGCCAGCTCTTAAAGTGGCTCCTCTCCACCCAGATTAAGAACATGCTACTAAAAAATCTTTCTTTAGCAGGCAAAGTGAGTCAGAACAGTCAATCTCTTGCCA